TGTGATATTCTTGCCTAAGAGAAGGATATCAGTGCTAGAAGGAGTGAAGCATTTCAGAGCTGTGCCAGAACTCTCAGGCTGAACAAGCGAAGTGGGTGCTTTACCTACGAAAAATATCCTGCCTTTCATTCCCATGTGCGATCTGGGAAATCACCATCTATTACACGTATGACGTCTAGGGTGCTGGTGGTTCACTTTTTTCCTCTTGTTCAGGGCGGTGAGTAGGAGTTTCAAGCAAGTGAAACGCGGGAGGTATCTATCTTTGCTGAGAAATCATTTATTCGGTCCTTTTGGGATATGCTATAGCTAGCCTTATAGGATGAGGCGCTTGATCGGGTATGTTACAATTAGGACTAGTCACTTTCAGGCCCTGGAGACGACATAACAAACCTGGTCGGGGTAACGAGCTAGAAACTGATCCAGTCTTCTCCGAGACCCTACAGGTACGCTCAACGCATCGTCCCTAAATAGTCGATGAAATGCAGCCAGCTTGTAAGCTGTCAATACCACATCGTCAGCCTAAAATGGCATAATCAGTGTAGATCAACGAGGGTAAAAGATATTGAGCCTACACCAATGGCACATCGATAATTTTCGAAACGATCAGTAATTTTTTCCATAACATAACCCGGTACAGTGAAGAGGTTGAGCACAGCAACATCATATGTGGCAGTCACTGCCTCGCTGATATAAGATGCCTACAATTAAAATGCATTTTAACTGAAGCAATTCTCAGGAATGCGGCGCTGTTCAGCTACGGAGGGGAGAGGAGACATTTCGCATAAACGTTGCTTTCCACTGTTGAGTTCATTGCTTTACAAGGGTTGACAAGTGGGCTCTTCAAAGTTTGGTTGGTGTCAGTGCTGCTCAAGATTTCACTAATCTTTACATGATGGCTCGACACGATTAGCAGAAGCTGCGAAAGCACAAAATGCCCCCACCTCTCTCCCCCCCCCCCAGCCGAACTGCGCCGAAATGTAACCACCTTACCGCTTCGCTGAAATGTTCTCTACATATGCGTTTTTGAAAGCGTATGCATTCATCATACATCTTTTGCAAACCCTGGATCTCTATTCTTCCTTTCTCTAGCATTCCACACAACATTATAGCAAGAGTCTCCTTCGATTTAGTACGACGAAGATCGCTTTCCTGGCGTTTCACGCCACAAAAACGACACACTTTCATTTTCTCTGCAAAGAAACTATTTTCAGCAACGACATAGCATCATTCCTGAACTCTCGAGCACCAGAAGATACGGATAAGACAATCGTAGTTTGTCGCGTTGTCGCGGGCGTGGGGCTCCTGCCGTGGCTTCGCGGCGAGTTCTCGGTGTGTATCAGGAAGTCGATTGGAGCAGCGAAACTCTTGGACTCCAACCAAAGACAAGACTCCATAACAAGCGATATCGAACTTTCTCGTCTCTTCCACGCATAAATTCAAATGGCTAAGCAGTATAACTCGACTGTCGGGCGCATCTCGCCACGCCCACCAACGCGGCATATTACTATTACCAGTCGGATCGGCCGGCTTCGCCGGCCGATCCTCCTTCCGCGTGTGAAGTGGGTCCCTGTGAGAAGTTTTCCATGATCGGGAGAG